CTGACAGTTTTTCTCTCTTCCCACACTTTTCTTTCCCTCTTTTTGACATTTATGACACCTATTTGAGATACTGTTACAAATAATACTATAGCAAATACAACAAATAGCACACCTTTTTTCCCCATATGTCAAACAGAGGATCAGCGTGTCAAGATGTGTGCCAAAAAGCAGTTATTTCTACATCCAGCTGTCTCGACTGTCAAAGGCTCATGAGAAGGCAGGGTTTCCACACTCTATCAAATTAAGGAAGATGGACCGTTTTTGGAATTGATGCAGGTAGTGTATACTCAGGTGGCTGACTGGGACGCCGGCATTCCCTAGAACATTTTAAGCACTCAGAGGTCTTAACATGATGGGATATACTGGGTGAAAAACCAAAACTAATTGTATCATCTATCCCTTGTGTGCCTCAGATGGAACCTTGGACAGTCATAATGTAGAAGAGAAAAATGAATAAAAACCTGTATTACACACAGTGCTCCCCACCTCATTTATAAACATCTGTATACTTGGAAACATGTACAAATGCACATCGTAACCAGTTTTACCTATATGCAGAAGCTTTCAGTGGTTCCCTCTGGTCTTTTCTCTTAGGTCTTGTGGACAAGGCAAGAGTGAGGAGATCTCTCTGGTTTTGCTTGAAAACTCCATAAACCCTTTGAGAGAAATCAGAGAACATGTCAATCAGCAGATATTAGAATGGAGTACTCCTGTATTTGTGGTACTTTAATTTATATTCTAACACATTAGCAGTGAAGAATGACATCTGGCTCAGCTCAAAATAATTATGGAGGAATGTAGTAAGTCCAAGTGCTGAAATGGTTAAATAAAATGATGCTTCTCTGCTTAGTTAATCTAGAATGTAAACTGATATAGCAGATTAGCTTCTTTTTTTTTAAGACAAAAAATTTTTCACAACAAACACTTTTATGCTGGGGGTTTAGCTGAGATTCTGATTGGTGGGTCTCTGACCTCAAATTCAGTTTCCTATTTTATGTATATATCTATTTTAAAAACCTTTAAATGAATGAGACATTTATTGGCAAAAGGGAATCACACATTTGTATTGCTTTTTAATGAGCAGTTACTCTCTGCCATTAATGAGTAGGGAGAGCTTGTTTAGGTCTCTACACTTCTGATATCACATACTTCTTCTGGTCCCACAGCAGAGTAACAGGGCGGTCGGGATCATGGCTGACATTTGTTTATGTAAGAAAGCAATCCATCTAATGACTGAGTCATCTTCTCAAAGGGCCTCTGGTAGAGGAGAGCTCAGATGAGAGTCACACAGGGAAGTTGCAAGGCTCATCTCCAAAGCCAGGCCCATTAATGTGATCAATGTGAAAGAGAGAGAGAGAAAGAGACAGTCTGACCAATGCATTGTAGAGTGATATACACAGGAAATTGAACAAGTTTCAATATAATTTCTATCGGCTTGAATATCTATTTTGTGGACTGGATTTGTATCATGTTTCCATGAGTCCATTTGAAGCATTTAAGAATCTTCTCATATTTTTCAAATAATATGATTCATGTTTTACATGCACTAGTCATTCTCTGGATGACCCCCATCTCCTGTCTCTCTCTCTCTCCCTCTCAATTCTGCCCATCCAAACTTCCTCAAGTAGGATTGAGTCTTGCTGCCTCTTAGAGGTTGGAATGTGTCACACACTTATCACACAAAGAGTCACACACACAGTTAATCACATTTGCACTTAATTAGGAATTTCAAGTCTTATTAATAAACACTCTCACACTTTTTCTTGAAATCTATTGTACATAGGGTCTATTGTTGGCACTCATAAAGGTAGAACATTTTATGCAAATAAGCCACGGGTGGTTAATTGCAATCAATCTCGATCTAAACATTTAAGCAGCATTTCAAATCTGACTCTTAATTTGACTAAGAGCATGATTTGTTTGCATTTCCGCATTTCTTAATGAAAATCCCTCCTCTTCAGTACCGGAAAACACTTTGCTGCTTGCATGTCTGCACCACAGATGTGTTTACCCTTACGGAACAAAAATATATGGGAATACACTGCAAAATATAATGCGATATATTACATAATACATTTCCATATATGGGAAACCAGTGCTTGTATTTTTCCAATATACTGCAATATATATAAAATATTTATAAATGACAAGACAAGACAAAAATAGCATTACATGTAATATTCACAAAGTTTTATCCTTTATTGTGTACATATATTGCACATACATGTTCCCATTTAAATGTAAATGTATGTTCACATATATATATATATACACAAACTTTCACGGAATGAGTTACAACAGATTTCCTCAATATTAATATGGGGGGGGGGGGGGGGGGGGGTGTTGATCTGTTAGTGTTTAATGTTCTATCTGCAATATATTACACATGCAGTACCATATCTGATCACATATACATCTATATACTGTATTATGAAGTGTATTCCTGAATATAAAATTACATACATTATGATATATTAGTAAATATATCGTCACATATTTTTCAATATTTGAAAAGCGGCAATTACTTATGTATTACTCAATATATTGTAATATAACACAACATATATTATTCTGTATATTTTTAAATATACTGTAATATAATTTAATATATTCATCATTGATATATTGCGAAATATATTTGCTTTTCGTAAAGGAATGTACATGTCGTAACCATTTGCTTGTGTATAAATCCTCTCAGACAAACATGTATTACAGGAAAAGTTCACATATATTTTATAAGGCACACTAATCTATCTATCTACCTAATGATCTGTATTTCTGGAACAAGGCTTGCCTCATGTATAAGCAATCAGAGTTTTACTGGACAGTTACCTCACATGCCCTTCTGTTTCGTCTGCGGTTCTATGACAGAGCTGCATTACCTGGCCTGTATTTTTCCGACAGCACTGGCCGTAAAGATGTCTCTCTCATGCTGAGACGTCCCAAATCCACACATAAAGCTGTCCAGAGAAAACTGCAACAAGCCATGGGAGCCCAGGATGCACTTGAGGTTTTGCTTGCTGACCATAAAAACATTGTAGATCCTAACAAACAAGGAATAGTGATAACAGCTGTTAACCTCATAAAAAAAACTTATTGCAATTTCAAATCTGAACTCTCTAAACAAATGACAACAGATACTTGCAATTATTTGTTGTAAATCCTTGAGTCGGTTTTACAATTCAGTACACTGCAGAGTAAATATAACAGAGATGAAAGAAAGTTATCTATTATTTGGGTATGCTCTTACATTTTTGATTCAAACCAAATCCACTGTATAATTATGCTGAGATTTCCTCTTGTTTTACTCAAGAAATGGAAAAAGCACAGATAGTTGTGCAAAAGTTGCAGTATCAAAACTGCACAAAGACAGAACCCAAAAATACATAAACATTGGCATGATATTGTGCAATGGAAAAGTTCTCCAAGCCTGTGTTTTAAATTTCAGTGGACTGGCCTGTCCACTCAGCAACAGCATCTCCGCAAATTCCTTTATCATGAAAATAATGGTGGTGCAAAAACATTTGACCCAGGGGGCATCACAGGAGGATGGCCTTACTATAGGATTGTTGCCTCTTCTTTCTCCCGGGATGGCCGAAAGGACCAGGGTGTGATTTGTTAAATGCGAGTCAGCCCCTTCATTGTGTCCTCATCATGGGGACATCTGGCACAAGCAAGCCGGTGTTTTGACTAAGGTCTCCATCTCCATTCTGAAGCAGTGGGCTGTACTGCATTGAAAAACTCCTTTGGCTTTCACATGGTAATGCTGCAAACTACAGGAGCAGATGTGAAACATTTGGTTCTGTTCTTGTTCACTTGTAAAGAGATAATGCGCTGCTTTTACTTTCATTTCACCATGCTGTGTTCTTCTCCTTATTAAAAAAGAAAGACAATACGGTAACAACAAGGGGGGGAAATGACGGTCGTCCTTGGTGGCCTGAAGTGAAAAAAGAGCCAAATGTTTACGAAATCTGTCAGTAACATAATAAGAAATAAGACAAATAGGGGTGAAAACTGTGATAGAATGAAAACAGAATTTTTTTCTCTCTAGCTCTCTCTCTTATCCAATCGCACAAATGAAGTGCACACAACACGTAGATTTGGAGATGTTTATAGGTTTAGTCACGCAGTAATGCATGTCTGAAATAATCTTATTAAACCATTACCATGACTGTTCAAACACACATTTGTACAAGAGATCAAACATCGTATCAGTTTCATACATTTTTCCTCTATCCAACGGCTTATCATATGTTTAGCATTAGTTAAAATACTATATATTTCCAAGCAAAATGACAGAGCATGATTTGGCCTGATTTCTAATTAGATTTAGTAAAGGATTTCATGCAAATGAATGTTTAAAATTTACTATTATAAGATATATTAGGGAGAAATTTAAGTCTTAGCAGTGCAGTTACTGTTAAATTTATTTTTTTATTTTTTTGTAAATATCCTGATGTTAAATCTATAAACAATCTCTCTTGGATTCTTTACAACCACCTTGTAAACTACAAACCTACATTTTGTTTGGCAGTGGCCACAGGCGATGAAAGTGACATTTGCTTTGAACACGAGCGTAACCGTTCCTCTTCAACAGAACTGACAGGTGGGCGGGGTCTGTCCTGCTCTTCCTGCATCCTATTGGTTACTGCAATGCAAATGACATGCGCTCTGGAAAAGTTTGGGGAACCTGATTGGGCCGCAGTATGTCAGTCACTTCAGGTGACGTCATTCTGAAGTTAGATACAAGGCACACACGTGTGAGAGCTACTAGACTAGTGCTATGAAAGTTTATCAGAATTTCAAAAATCATTTGAAGAAAAGGATGGCCTAAAAAAATCGTTTTGTTTTTTTACACTTTTAACACGATTTGTTTAAAATAAACTATTAAAGGTATCATGATTAACGCTTGTTATAACATAGTAATTTAAAAATCTCACTAATCTAATTCTCAGACTAATAACAGTTTATATAAGTAACGACGACGAGCGTCACGAGCTTTAGGCTATGCACGAGGGTTTTTGGGGAGCGGCGCGTGCGAAATCTAAACCACCTTTGATGCTCTCGAGCTCCAAACGCTGCTTTATTTTTTGATGGCAAGACCGAATAATGCCAGTCTAGCATGGCTGTCTCTCCAACTCATGCCACCCGTGGACCGACATGGCATTTAGCCGCGTCTTTTCTGACCCTCCGTCCAAGAGCATCTTTAAGACCTTCGCGGTCATGTTGCTGTCTATACTTGCGTCTCTGTACTTTCTCCACTGCCTCACGGATCGATGCGGGACCTGTATACCCACGGAGAGAAGAGATACGGGTCCGGTGGAGGAATTTTACGCCTCGAAACTTAAAGATTTTGGGTCGCTGAGGAGAAAGAGACTTTTTCAGAAATGGACCTCCACGAGACCTCAGGTGATGAGGCACAACAGATTAATCCACCGACTCGAAAGTGTCAGTGAAGAGGATTTACCTGAAATTGAGGCAGATAAACACATTTTTCGGGAAAACGTACAGCTGTCAAACTCTTTGGATGTAGATTTGGAGACGGGGGGCTCGTATTTTGATACAGGTAAACTGAGTTCGTTAGGCGAGGGCAGTAAGAAGCTGCCTCAGGCGATCATCATCGGCGTGAAAAAAGGAGGGACGCGCGCGCTGCTGGAGTTTCTGCGCGTGCATCCAGATATCCGCGCGGTCGGAGCGGAGCCGCACTTCTTCGACCGTAACTATGACAACGGACTGGACTGGTACAGGTAAGTTAACTTATGATCAGTGATCATTGATGTGCCCAATCTACACAAGAGTTTAAAAAGATATGCGTTCATTATTATATATCTCAAAAGATTAATAGATTTCCCCCTAATGACTAGAGAAGAAACATTAACATTATCACAAATAATTAGCCTATCTTTTAAACCATATACATAAATAATGTATTGTAGCCTATATTATTTGTATGTTATCATAATAATATAACGTCAATATGATTATTATTCATAATTAATTAGTTTTGTCGTAGCGCTGGTGTTTAGCTTTGTCAGTTGTTGTAGATGGTCAACAAGTTTTTTCACAAAAAAAACAACAACAAAAAACACAACACAGGCCAAATCTAAAAGTAACACTATAAATATTTGGTATGTAGCTTATAATAAAATATAACATAATAGTCTACGTAATTTTGGTAATAAAAAACTATTTGTGGCTTGAAAACTATACATTCAAATAAATGGAAATGATAAAAAACATGCAAATAAAAATGCAAATATTAGTTTCAGATAAAAATTGTATAAACAGCCCAGCTCTTATTTGCTCATTTTCTAATCCATGATAAGAAACTATCTTGCATGGGAATTTTGAACTTCAAGTTTCATCAAATTAAATGGAGAGCATAAGCTAAAAAGGATCCTCACAATATTATATAATGCACAATAGAGCTGTTTGAGTCAATTTTTTTTTCTAATTAAATTTTAAAAAATGAAATACAAAGAAGCTAGTATTTTACTCACTAAGAAGATTCCCAAGAAACCAATTCTCTTAAAAATATGTTTCCATCAAACTTTTTTTTACTATATAAAGTTTAATGTATTTGTCAGTTTATTTTCTACCATTTCTTACTAAACTTTTTAACTAGGAATTAAGATTACATGATCAAAATATATATGAAAGTGTATTTAGTGGTATTTATATGACATGGTACACTTATAAGAATATAAGAAAAATGGTTTTCCATTTTCCATGGTTTTATACTTTTGTATGTATCTGTATGTTTTCTGCATCTATTTGGTGTGTGTGTGTGGTTAATTCGATATCTTCAGGCTGCTGTTAGAGTTTAACATCAGCTTGTCTTTTGCCGTTCTGTGTAATGGAGCATATCAGACATCACAGCTCTGTTATTAAGAGGGATTATGACCGTAATGAAAGGTTACCTGTCTGTCTCCGCAAGGTATATTTCACCACCAGATTTAGTTAACATACCAAGTCATGCAAAATTGCAAACTACGCGCCCGAATACTCTCTTTCTCCTTCAATTGATTAGGCCTATGCCTTCTAGTACTTCTTATTGTCAAAAGCATAGATAAAAACAAACAAATAAATACACAATAAAAAAAAATACAATACATGAATCCTTCAGAAACACTCACTCTCTTTATCAACATGCAGTCTCTCTTTCTAGTAGCATCACTCTCACACCCAACACTGCTATTCATCCTTTGTATCCTTTGTGCTTTGTTATATCCACGAGGATCCCATCCATCCAAAAGAATCGCCAGGATTCTTGGGAATGCGACACACGGTTCGGAAAACAGGCCTGGTTAGGAAAAAAGCCCCCCTCCCCCATCCTTCAAATAGGCCCTCAATTTAAAATTACACAAGAAAACAATAACTGCAACATCAAAATGATTTGCTAGATAACAGCATGTGACAGATTACTCGTCCATTTACAGTACGTCTGCATGAACAACAAGTTAAAAAGTGTCGGGAGGTCCGTCAGTTCAAATTAACAAAAAGTGAGTGGAATAACAGAAAACGTTAAGAGGTGTGCTTTACTTGAGCTAAAACACTTTGGATGGGTGTCAACTTTCTACAAGACAGGAAAAAATAAAGAAATAAACTACACAGCCAATGTTTTTCTCTCACTCTCTTTTTTCAAATGAGCTGAAAGACATTTCCTGAATTTATGCACAAGGCAGGACAGTTTGATGGATCTGTGCAAATGTCTTGCAAATAAAGAAAACAAACATAAAATTACTTTTGGAGCATAAATTCTCACCCTTTGTCAAACCCTCTGGGAATAATTGCGTTTCTCCCGACCGCTGAAGTTATGAATGGGCTCTGTTTTTTCTCTCTCCCTGCACTAATCACTGTGTCCAATTTGCTGGAATTATGTGACTCTTTTCAGGCTAGGCTGTGAATGTTTAAACACAGAAACTTCCATCTGCAGGGATGAAGGTCCTTTGTGTTTCGTAATGGCTGATACGGACACTGTGAAGGAATCACACAACTTTGCTTCTCTGTGGGAATGCGAGACGTGTGTGTGTTTTGTCAATTTAGTTGCTCGTGTCCAGTTGGTCCTATTGGTGGTGCAAAAAGTGCAACATTTTTGACTGCCACAAGCTGTGCTTAGCATTTTCTCTATACCGTTTTCAGCAGTTTGTCAAAAAACAAAAACTACATAACGAAAAAGTAATTTCAGCATTGCCAGACTGCATCTGTGCTACTACAAATATCAGTGTTGTGGTTGCTTGTCAAAACATTACTCACCCATCTGCAGTCAACGTCGCAATAGTGAAATCAGACACGCAGCCAGAACATCTGTGAGAGGTAAAACATTGAGTATTAGATTATATACTATTATGAAAGGCACGCTTTTTATTTGGGCTACCAGTGAAACCCTTCTTTTAATAATTGACAGAGTTCCTTGGCTTCCATTTTGACAGGGTTCACTGCCAGCTTACACAAAACTTTCTCTGTCTTGTGCTGAGACAACTTAAACCCCAAGGCTTTTATTATGGAAATCTGTTCTTTGAGTGCAAAAAGAGATCATCTGAAAGACTTGATGTAATGAGTGGTCTTTGCTTTATATTAAAGTCTGTTACAATCAAAGCTTCTGAATTTAACCTTCCAGGAACCTGTTGTGTCCAGGGATGTATTTTATTGATTAAATGGCTACAGTAGTTGTGTTGCATCTCAGAATTGGACAATCATCTCTTACCATTGGTCTCCCACACGTGACTCTTCCAGTAGATAGGCTACTGGGTGAACTATCCCACTCTAGCGTTCGGGCAAGGGTTCCCCTGGGACCTCCTCCCCCGAATTTGAGCTCTCTGGGTCTCTGCGTTCCAGAGATACGAACGATTTTCTTCTAAAATCGTGACGTCACCGGTGTCCGCAATTTTGCAGCGCGCCCGATGGTTTTCTGCTAATATCTCCGCGAAAACACCACCAAAAACTATGGAACTTATATAGTTCTTTTCAGCTCGACTAGATGGTCCCAACGAGCTCGGTGCTCGCCGAATCCGTCTAGTATTCGCCGAGATATTTGCGTAATAGACGGTATTGTCTATGAGTTCGAGCACGAGCGCTCTTGTAAAATTTGGTTGCAATCTGAAACATCACCACTAGAGGCCGCTAAAATTTACATAGAGCACCTTTAAGTTTCACAGTGTATTGACAACTAATGCAGGGCCTAATTATCCATATGAATAACTACAGCAGATTCAGGTACGTCACCACACAGAAACATCCGAGGAACATGAATTGCAATAGCCAAACGAATTGACAAAATAATTTTTGAAAACGAAAACAAAAGGATCTGAAATATTCTTTCGTTTTTTGGTATTGCGTTAAGAGTCATACACTGAATTTGTTCATAAATTATTTGGGCCCCTATACTTGTCGTAAATCGCATACTTCCTTTTAATTATAGCACTGTTTTATATGTGAGGAAATTAAGTAATTACACATCTGGAGAGCTTGTGCACTTTTGTTTCTTTGCACTCTTCCCCCTCCGTAGCCCCTGCGGTGAGGGCTTCTCTCAAGTGGATTCAAGGAACGCATATCAAAGCATAGCCATTCAAACTACATTAAAACCTCTTTAAAAATTCAGGCTAGAAAATGTGGAAAAAAAATTCCTAGGCCACATGTCTGTAGAAACTTCTTTAGGACATTTTTCTCCTTAAACTATCCTAAGCTGCAGTTTGCATTGTGCAAATAAACTACCCAGCAAAATCACAAGCTCTGTCGAATCCAAATGTCTGTGAACATTAATAGTATTCTCAGCAGCAGAGTTTGACTTGTAAAGTTGGTTTGTGATTAAGTGAGTAGCAGGCTCCTAAACACGCCTCTGTTTGGAGCTGGTAGACACATCTCTCATCACAGGTGTTGTGGAGAAGTTTTTGGAGAACCTGTGGAGAGGCTGGCTGGCCAGTTGGCAGAGGGTAGTGTGAACTCCGCTGGAATATGGGGAATGTTCTTGAGTGATGCATGGCACAGACCGAGTTCCTCGTACACAGAACATGGTGTTCACTTCACACTGACAGACACAGCCTGTGGTAACTGGTTTACAGTGCAGTGGCAAAGTTCCTGGGAAAATAAAACCCCTGTGTTAATAGAAATATGGACAGATTCACATGAGTACAGTAAAAATTGACTGTCAGTATATACATGTGCATTCAACACAATATTTCACATTTAGCCAGGTGGAGTATTTTTTCAACACATTGCCTCAACTCAGCATGATCTCAATCATAATCATAGATGTATGTAAACTCTTAAAAACAGAGGTTATTTATTGCCATCTAAGATCCTTTTACTTCCATCGCAAAAAAGGCTCTATAGTTGAAAATTGATCTTCAAATTATGTTGATTCACTCACAGACAGGTTATTTGGGGAAACCAAATTTAATTTAATTGTTTTTGACAATATTAAATACTATTTAAGAATACTTAATAATAGTAATACATTTCTCCAATATCAGACAATAACAGATATGTTACCTGTGCATCCCTACAAATTTATTTATAAATGAAATCAAGATTCATCATTTGCATCTTTGTTTGGAGGAGTTTAATTATCACGAAAGTTTAACAAGTAAAAAATCACTTGTGTTTCCATGTTTTATGGGAACATTCCAAACATAATGATTTTTGAACAAGCTGTATATCAGCTAAACATATACCACTACACATACTCATCAGCATGTTTACATTTAAAAAAAATATTATTCTGTAAGACTTATAAGAGGTTTTCCTC